GACTAATGCTATCCAACGAAGCACTAAAGCCTTTGAAATTAAAAGGGCATCTCGAAACCAAACATCCCACACTCGCAAGAAAACCAGCGGAATATTTCAAGAGAAAAGAAAATGGACAGCAGATGCAGGAACTGTCTGTTGTGTCACTGACTGGTAACTCTAAATGTGCTTTAAAATCTAGCTACCTCGTATCCAGACTTGTGTCACAGAGTAAAAAGTCTTTCACTATGGCAGAAGAGTTGATTTTGCCTGCCCCTGTACATATGTTTCATGAAATGATCGGAGAGGCTGCTGCAAAAAAGGTACTGACCATCCTACTCTCAAACGACACTGTAAGCCAGCATATCATGGACATGGCCTTAGACATACAGCATCAGCTTCTCGAAAGAATGAAAAGTAGTTCACTGATGTCACGAATGGTGCATTATTGCTGGTTTCAGTTTGTTATCGCTGGGACAGCAGAAGACATGCTGTTTTGTGGAGAGTGTGAGATTATAATATTATCTTATGCCATGTTATGCCCCTAATTAAGGATTGTGAAGCTATTATGTAGTTTTAGTTTGCATTATTCTCCTGATAACGATTACATTTGTTAAACTGATTTGTATTACATTGGACTGCTGATTTATTGTGAATGAATGATATTGTTTTATGATGCATTATACTGCTGAGTTATAAGAAACACTGTTTTCAGAGAGTCAGGACCTTGCTTTTTCTGATAGTAGAGGAGACAGAGCACATTCCACGGGAGCTTCACTCCCGCCGTTGTTAAAGGCAGACAAAATAGGGAGCCAAGGCCATAAGTCAGGCTCGTTAGGAGTTAGGAAAATGTGAATGTTTAGGCTTTTACGACTAGGTGGGGGTCAACAGTGGCTATAAGAGTTTGAGTAATGCTCCACCATTTGGAGATCGATGCTGTCTGTGTGCGGTGTTCATCTCCCCACACGTGTGTTCATTAAAATCATTGTTTGACCGAAGCTCTTCTGGACCATTATTGTTTTTGTGCTCACCCTCAATATCTGAACCCGTAACATTTTGGGGGCTCGTCCTGTGAATTGAGGGGGAGTGAGTTTGGAGGTTTGGACGGAGAAATCTGGGGTCCAGAGGCGGTCAGACGCGCAGACACGATCCGGGGATCGAACTGAGTGGACAAAGGCCGGCCTATTTAAAAGGTGAGGCACATACCTGTTGAATTATTTCCAAAGTGTGCCAAATTGGACATTGAAAATTAAAGTCTACTCACTAAATCACTGGTGAAAGTCGG